CTTTCTAACATTTTAGCTATTGTCATTTTCTTATACAACTTTCTGGCTCATGTGTATCTTGTGTGTGTATGTGAGTCTGTGTGTGTCCAAGCTTCTAATAGGTAGAAAGAGTGTATGTTATATTTTATTCCTAAAACGGCAATTAACTATATACTTTTTAATGTTTCAACGTATTTTTATTTTTAACAGGTTGAAAATGCATTTACTGGGTTACCAGGATATAAGGACATTCGTGTGATTGAATTTAGGTAAATCGTTTACTCTAAAAATGTACATGTTGAATGACTATTTTAAGTGGAATCTTTTCTTATTTATCATATGTATTCTAACATTAAATGTGTTTAAAAGCTGTGCTTTCAGTGATATTTCTGGTAAGTTAGCGTTTTTCCTACCACTTTTCCAGGCAAGGACATTTAGAAAAAGAATGTAAAGTAATGTCCCTACCCAAGGACACAAAATACATCTGTTGTCAGATGAGGGTAAGAATTCACGTCCCAGTTTAATGCTGACAACCCAGCTCTTCCTTGGCACTGATGAGAGCCTGATGTGAGAGTTTCCAAAGCTTGTCAGCACTGTACTGAGGTGGATTTTTGTGTCTGATTTTAAGGCCACTCTGAAGGATGCACTGATTTTCATTAAACGAATGGTTCTGACCTTTTTATAAGACATTTCTTTTCAGCTTAAAATTCACAGGATAAAACTGTTTTTCTGTGCCATCAAGTTCATTTGGCTTCACAGCAACCCTGTAAAGACAGAATAGAACTGTCCATAAGGCTCCCAAAGATGGAAATCTTTATGGGAACAGACTGCTTCTTTCTCCCGCGGAGCTGCCGAGGGACTCACACTGCTGACTTTTTAATTAACAGCTCAGTACTTAGTCACTGTACACCAGGGCACTTAAATATATTCATGAAAATTTATATCAGGCAGTTCATTTTCATGAACTGATTTGATCTGCAATATGGTGTGAGGTTAGGGATTCTGATTATTAATATTCGTTTTTATGGATGAGGAAATGGACTTCAAGTAATGCAGTAGTAAGCCAAAGTTGAACTCTTGCTCTTAACCTTCGTCATAAACTTGGTACTGTTTGACCATTTGGGTCATAGCTGTGGCTCAGGTGTTTGAGACGGTAGAGTGTGAATAAACTGACATCATGTGCAGACTGACAGAAGACTTAACAGTGTCAGCATCTTAACTCAGTATCTCTTCATCAAAACTTCTGGGTTTGCAGGTAGTAACAGAAAGCACAGCAAGACAATAGCCATTTACTTACAAATGTAATTCTACGTTGTTAAAAATATTTGGGACAAATTGTTTATTTGTCTCTCAGTTTCTTTATCTGTAAGACAGAGATAATGAGAACCCTTTTTTTCCAAAAAGATGTAATGTGTATGAAATGAATTAATTTGTATAAAATGCTTAGCACAGTTTCTGCTATACGGGACATCCTATTCAAGTGTCCTCTGCATAAAAATGCATACATATCAAAGGCCAACCAGTATCACACAGATTAGTCAGTTCTCCACCCCTCAGCAATTTGCTGTATCCCATCAGATTTTCTTTTACTTTCCCTAGTTTAAATACAAGTTACTGTTTTCAATCTGCCAACTGAGTACAGCTGCCCCACAGGGCTGTGATCTTTCCAGGAGCAGATCATCAGGCCTTTTCTCCCAAGTAGCCATTGATGGCTTTGAATTGTAAACTTTGCAGGTAGTAGCTGAGAGCTTAGCTATTGTTTTCCTACCCTCTCCTCAGTCTTCTCCCCATAAACCTCAACAAAACAACAAATAAAACCCACTGTCTTCAAGTTGATTCTGACTCATTGGAAACTTCATTGGGTTCCGAAGCTGTACATTTTACAGGAGGAGACTGCTCTTTCTTCTGTAGAGGTGTGGAACCATTAGTGGGTTTGAAACACCCAACGGCATTGCCTTAATCCACTGAATTTAAAAAAAAAGAGGGCTCCCAGTTTTGTTTGTGTCAATGATAATATCCTCTGTTAATCTTTTGAAAAGTTTCTTTATAAAGGGATATGCATACATGAATTATTTAAAAATTATTTTAAAACCATTTTTTTATTATAAAAAGGAAATATTATATTTTCATGGTTTAGGCTTGGTTCTTCAGTGACACTGTCTGAAAATGAGGCACATGTCTGTAATGAAATAAAATCTGAACTGGGTTTCAATAGAAGTTCCCTTCATCCCATTAATGGTGTGAAGAAGGGAAATCAACCATAAACGTTCCTACGGGATGAAGTCAGAACTGAAAAGACATACACAGTGAGGATGAGGGACAACACAGCATGTTTAATCGGCATTGCTAAAAAACATTTATATAAACGCTCTATTGGAGAGATTGTGGAAATACATTTAATATATAATAGTGTACTTCAGTTAAACCATGTTTTAAACATGGTAAAAACCACTGGTTTAGAAATAGAATGTTTTCTCCAGTGAGTCTCATTTCCTTCAATCTGTAGGTATTTCTTAGCCTGTGATTCTCTACAAGCATTTTTGCTAAAATAAATGTTTCAAAGAAAATTAGAAAACTTACTAAGAACTTGTATTTAATAAATGATGTGACAATTATAACAATTTTCCAACCTATTAAACATTTTCCGTTTTTGTTTTCAGGTCTCCCAAGGAAAATGGCAGGTAGAGTACTTTCTTTAAAAAAAAAAAAATCCAACAAATATTTCTTTTTCAAAGAGAAAGCAGAGCTTTTAACAGGAGCAAGTGTACATGGTTGAATTTTGTTCAGAAACTGTACCAAGAATGTATGAATTTAGGTTGGTAAAAGATCAAATAAATAAGACCTGGGGTTATTACTTGAATATAACCTCAGCGTAAGCCCATAGACTGATGTTACTAAAGGAAAGAAAAGTTACTTTAATAGAAATTTAGAGCCTGCAACACAGAAAACAATAAACTCTCCCTAAAACAGCTGTCATTGAGTTGATTGTAACTCATGGTGACCCACATATTGAACAATAGAATTATACTCTATAGAGGTTAAGTGGATCACCAGTCCTTTCTCCAGAGGCGATTCTAGGTTTGAACCACCAATCTTTCTCTTAGTAACCTGTGACTTAAAAATGTGTCCAACCTAGAGTCTCTAATAATATTGTCATATAGTAGAGTACTTTTGGACATTTTTCTATACTGTCCATTGGATATGGAGACAGTTTTGAAAATATGGCAGCTCTAGGTTCAGGGGTGTGGAGGGACAGCGCAGGAGAGGAAGACCCTCTATGAGGTGGGTTGATTCAGTGACTGGGATAATCAGTGTGGGTGTGTTGGAGGCATTGAGATTGGCACAGGACAGACCAGAGTTTAGGGCTGTTCTACATAAGGTCACTATGAGGGGAGTGTGACTCAATTCTTCTACCACCTCCAAGGTCAATATTTCTTTTTTGTGTTTGTTTTTTATTTTTTTTATTATTAATTTCAGTGAACATCAACAGAGATTTTGGAATTCCATTCATTCATTGTTGCACTTTTCTCCCGACCCACTCACTCCCACCCCCACCCCCAGCTCGCTCCTCGCTCCTCTCCTTGAAAAGCAAAAGAAAAACTCCGTCATTGGTACACAATCCCCCCTCCACCCCACACATCCCCACTCCCACCCCAAGTATACTCCACTCTGCAACCCTCATTCCGGACTCTTATGATAATCATAATGCCGTAAAATATATTAATTTTAAACTATTCTCTCAGTCATCAGCTTCAATGCAGTAAACATAATTTATCCAGTTTTTCTCAGTCTTTCCCCCACCCCAATGTCAGCCTCATTCTACAACAGTGGCACCATATAATAT